AAAGGCGCCGTCGTCTGTAAACAAAGGTTTTGCCTACGTCACAAAAACAAAGGTGGGTAAGTCATTTAACTACCTGGCTATAAAAAAAAGAACATAAAAATCCATGTATTCACAGTGCGGGTGCGGTGTTCATCGTGTGGGAGAGAGAGAAACTCTGAGCAGTTTCAAGGACTTGCGACCCAGGTGTAGGTTTATGGAGGCCCCCTTTAAGATGCGCATCAACGGCCATTTTCACTGCTCGAGTTGCCCATCCTTCTTAGCCAAATTTGATAGTAGCCTGTTACTGCAGCCATAAACTCGTTCCAAAATTTAACATAATTCAATTCTCGACAGGCCTAGGTCTTTTAGAAGATTATACTTCTACCACATATATAATTAATTAGATATCCATAAAAATGGCAATTTAATGGTTAGTTAATCGGTTACATCGTAATATACATTGAATTTTATTGTGTGGTCTCAGCTCTCCCAGCCCGACTCTATTAACTTGTGCACCTGTCATAAATTGTTTATGGAATTGAAGTCTTGCCTCAAGCTCTGTAACACGTTTGTCTTTTGGAAGTAATAAGACTATTTCATCCTGGGTTTGTCCCAACACATGCATTCTTCAGGCTTCTTCAACTTCATCCCAAAACTATTCTGATCTCTAAATAGAATTGAAGAAAATAAGCTGTATGGGCTAGATCAAGCCATAACTTCAATGTCTTTATGATATTTGCATCCAATTTTGCCAAGAGGTTTTTACCAAAATCATATACAAGGAAAGGCCAAGTCAGACGTGACGTAAGGCAGTTGTCGTCATAGATAAATGATTGGTCTCGCTGCGCTTCACAGCTAGACTAAAAAAAAAGGTAAATTTAAAAAATCAAAAAACCCGACTGCTTAATTATACTTCAAATAAAAACTGAAAAGAAAAAAACAAGTCCAGTAGTCTATAATTCTGTTAATAAGGAACAAAGCTACTTTAACAGTCGGGACCCATTAGATATTCAAGAATACATAATATTTTTCAACAGTGGGTCCCGACTGTTAAAGTAGCTTTGTTCCTTATTAACAGAATTATAGACTACTGGACTTGTTTTTTTCTTTTCAGTTTTTATTTGAAGTATAATTAAGCAGTCGGGTTTTTTGATTTTTTAAATTTACCTTTTTTATTTCACACTTTTTAGTTAGTTAGTATTTTAAGACGGTATATACCGTAGTCTTGTTACTTCAGTAAGGGAATTAATATCGCGGGAATTATTAAGTACCTTAAGACAGTCTAAAAATGAATCTAATGATACCGCATACATATTTTTTTAAAGGGAAATTTAGAAAAAATATTATTATGTCTTTATCCCGTGGGACTTTTAGGATAAAATGTATCCTATGACACTCCCGTAATCAAGACAAATCTAACGATACCTCATACATCAAAATCCATCAAGCCGTTTAGGCTACAGGAGGTCACAAAGGAACAGACATACATACATACTTACATACACTCCCTCAACATTACCCTCCCTCTTTGGCAGTCGGGTAAAAAAATGGGTGCGTGTACTTATGTAGGCGCGTGAGAAGATATCCTTCTTTCGCATCGTTTAAAATTAGTTTTTAATTGCATGCAAATAATTAATTACAATAAATTAATAAAAAGTCTGGAAAAGGACACAGTCAATAAAGTTCAGTTTTAATTTGAGAAAATAAACAAATAATCAAAATATTCAATTAAAATCGCTACTGAATATAATTTATTAGAACATATGTGATTTGCACTTGTATGAAACTCAAACACGTATTCCGAATATACAAACTAGAAACATGTGGATAAATATTATAAATATGAATACCTATAACTGTTACTTTATTACAAAAAATAAAGATGTGGTTTTTGGTTCTACTACACCAATGGTCAAGAGATGGCGCTGTAGTCTCCTGAATCGCGCTTTGGTTCCGTTGTTCCAGATTAATAAATACTTTTGATAGGCCTCCACAATACAGTCGTTAGCACCCACTAAATAGAGGTTCTATTTCTATTTTGTTGGTAGATTTTCTTAATGTGCGGTAAACACAGAAGTAACAGCATGAAGTTGGTCGCTAAAGCGACCAACTTCATGCTGTTAATATTTTGTGTTACAGTGATGAGCGCGCATCTTAAAATTTCACTCTCATCATTTTTTCATAACGCGCCTAAAGAAGTATAACTTCAATAATCATTCATCTATGGTTTTTGTATATCTAAACTTTTTTACTATTGCTTAGCGGTTGTAGATCTACTTTATTCAAGTCATTTAGAAAATTATTAACAACTGCCTCTAAGGATGGAGTATGTCCTATGTGAATTTGTGATCAATCTTTCTACCCAGAAATTTGAAAGGACCAACTTCAGCAATCGTGGGTAACACATTGTACCGAGCGTGCGACCGCTACTACTATTTTTGGATTGTTCCATGTCGCGAGTCGGAGCTCTCTCAAAAACAGAAAATTATGTTGTTTTCTCCTCGCAAAAACAGATCTGCCACTTCAATACTGCTGAATCATGGTGTTTCCTATTATATACAAGAATTTTTAATTATTAAAAAGTTAGTATTCTGGTATAAAATTCAATTATAAGAAAAGGTGCGGAATGACGAATGAATGACAAAACTAATAAGTTTTTTTCGTTTTTCTAATGTTTTAGGGCAGTGAATTTCTCCATTTCGGCCATAAAATAATAATAGGTAGTAATTCATAGTGATGTGACGAAAAGAGAATGAAATGAATGAATATTATTTTTATAACAGGAACGTTTACAACCAGCTTGAAATAAGTGCATCTGGCGATATCAGTAGCAAGTTGATAACACCGTGAATTTTGAGTTAACTCAGAAACTTAAAATTCGTAGGAACAGTTATAAACAGCGGTGTTCACTAAAAGTAATATATTTTAGGCCTTACAGATTTTCGACAAATGAACTTTAGGAAATAGCCAATTTACCGACTGTGCGTCAACTTTAAATACTGATTGCAATCTTAAGATGTCATAAATACTTACCGTATGAACCTAAGCTAACTCAAAGAAGAAGAAAATGCATAAAAATCTCTCAGCATAACACAGCTTTTGCTGGACAACAATTCGATATACAGAGTTGTAAAATTTACAACGAAGTAAATAAAAAGCTAGGTATATCTAATCTGAATATGTATGATTGTAAAATGACACTCGGTTTGCCAATCTCCTTTACTTTGGTTTTATTGTCATTATGAGTCAGCGTTAGTTTTTTTTATAAATATCGGTCGATATTTTTATAAATATATCAATAAATCAATTAAAAAAAATTTTTGTCGAAACATCAAATATATATATCGTACGGTAAATATCGAATAAATTCAATATATCGATGTTAAATAAATATCCCTAGTGGTTACGTCCGTCTTTTTTTCAGGTCCCTGCCATCAAATACTATAGAACCAAAGTACTCGTAGTGTTTCCTTAATATTTGGTGCCAGTCAAGTGAAGTTTCACATAATAGAGTCGGGCTCTCTCGCATTTTTGAATTTTGCAATATACTATCTCGCTCTGACGCTGCTGTCAAGTGCTAAAGTAATAGAACCATAGACATTTTGATACTATGTCTATGAATAGAACGAACTTTTTTAAAGTGCCAAAGGTGCGATTCTTTCCACGCAGAAATGTTATAGGTTTTTTGTAAATTACAGTCGAGTGTTTAAGAGCGGTTGTCAATAGTACACAATAGGGAAGATGCAATATTTTCATTTTTGTTTTCATTTTAAAGAATTCCATTTAGAATAAACCACAGATATATTAAAAAATTAAAACATTGTGATTTATCGGAAAAAGTGCGGTTTTAAATTGACAATTTAAATTTTCGCGCGAAAACGAACCTATGGTTGCGATGACGTCACTCCTGTCTGTCACTGGTCGTAATTGTTCGTTGCTGGCTTTAAATTTTCATACTTTTACATATTTTTTCGACTTTCGAAATACTTTTTTTATAAATTTAAAATGGACTATCCATCAACATCATGTGATCATAACAATACCACTAATATTCTGAAAAAAAGCCGTGTTGACTCATGTTTTGTGCCAATCTACTTCAACAAAGTTCCCAAATAAATTGTTTTTGACTGGAACTTCTGACCCAAAACTGAAAAAAAAAGTGGTTTCAAGCTGCGAAGAGAAATGACAATTATTCTCCAATTTATTCGATGCTGAGAAAATCACTTTGACGTAAGTCGGCGAATATACTTGTTATATGCTTAATTAATCTGCTTGTACGTGAAAACGCATTAGTAACCTACCTAATACTTACAAAACCTGTCTATAACATATTTTTAATTTTACAGTTGGAGAATGACGTCGAAAATTAGATAAAGTTTAAAATGTGTGGCAATCTTCACATTGGCAGGACTGAACCAAGCTTTGCGTTTCATTTAAAATAACTGTAACACGATAACCTTCTTTACGTACTTTATGCTTCGGAGAAGTCGACCTTTTACTGTACATTAATTTGGACATAGCCGGTTGCATTATCGCCGTAAGATTTGTAGAAGCCGCTGAATAAAATACGAAGTTTAACAACTACGATTTTTGCATACCGTAGTAATTTAGTCCCTTTCATTTCTACACTTTGGACAAAAAAAGTTATAATCATGTCAACGCTAACTCTTGGTAAATTCCTGGAGTCTGCTTTGATAAACGCAACTTCCATTTTTATTAAATGTAAAAAAACGCAATAAATATTCCCATAAAATAATATTTACTTTAACAACCATAACCTCAAAGAAGTTGTCATAACAGGAGTGACGTCACTAAACACTGATTGGTGTTTTAAAATACGTTCCGTTTCAAGTATTTTACTTCGTAATAATTGTTAAAAAACAACATTATGTAAAATAAAAACGTTGCAGTGGCATTTCTTTTATATTTTTTTAACATTTTAATCATAAAATTTTCATAAATATTATATATGCATCTTCCCTATTACAAACATATGCCTATTACACATATGAGAAACCTTGATTACACACAAAACGGCTACGCTGATTGTGAGTATTATGATGTGATGATGCGTATTATGTTGGAATTAGATTTCTTAGATTTGTTGAAGTTGCTACTAAATTGAATGCCCATACAAAATAATTTACTTCTGTAGTAGTTCTGTCTCTCTAAACTTAGGTTTATATTCTCTCTGGTTGGTTGTTGCTACGTTTTACTGAAGAAGTTTTGTGTAAAAAGTTTGTTTACCATTGCCATACATTTCCGTTTCATGTATCTGACCGCAATGGCACGCTTTATTAAGTTTTTATGCCAGGCCGATTAAGCAGCCCAATATTAAAAAAAAATGCCTGTAACGGAGGCTGGTGATCAATATTCTGTTTGGGTAAGTACCTAGATATAAACTTCACAAGCTTACTTATATAGGCACGAGTACGATCTTCATCAAACATTCAAAACGTTGGTTCACCCAGCTAGCCACATTATTGTAAAAGACCGCACAGTTTAGGACATGGTCTTAGAATGTACATATCCTTTGCTGAGTTTCAGGACAATTTGCTCCACCCACTGAAATACTGTTAAACATTGTACGGTTTTAATCCATATTTGTGTTTCTTATTGGAAACAATATACAGTGTAAACTCCATGTAACGTCACTCGATTTAACGACGAACTCCCTAAGGCGTCGAAATCACTCGTCTTTGGTTGATTTAGTTTGTTTTCCATATAATGATACACTCCATATAGCATTACACCCACTCTCAATAATGACAACAATTAAGTAATAAGTTGCCAAAATTAGTGAAAATCGCGCAGCTGTGTACGTTCTTTTGTCGCTTTATTATCCTAGCCCGTAATAAACTGGACTGCCGGCATCATGCTAACCAAACTTTCTAAGAAATTCGTTCTTTTGTTTACAAATTGGGATTGCACGTGTAGACTGTTGTTTGAGCATAGCTAAAAAAAATATAATTACTGGTGCAGCAAAAGACGTCAGACAAAAATAACAGAATATACGCAATAGCCTTCAAATCAGATATTTTTTTTATGTATATAACTACTATAATATTTCTTCTTTCCATTTAACCACAACTCTCTATAACGCCATAAAATGTACAGTCCCTTTAGTGTCGTTATATAGAGTTTGCACTGTATTTTGAAATTTGTTTAGTAGGTACTTACTTTAGAGATAAATTGCCCTCTTGTAAACCACTTAATTACTTTACTTTTAAATAAATAAGAAATAACAAATCAGTGCCAGAAATATCTTTTGTGATGGTCCCACTGCTCGATGTGTCTGCAATAAATGTCTACAATGTCTGCTAGTTTCAGCAACATTTATGCATCATGACATAAATTAAGTTGAAATTTCAAAATTATACAATATTTATTGATGGTATGTGATCCCAGTGTCCTCATTTATTGTAGTATTTTATTATATTTAAATAGATTATTTCAGTACATAAACTGCCATTTTACTTTTGTTTATGACAAAATAGTATTTGTTGCCATATTTGACAAGTGCATCAACAGTATCTAATCAAAAGCAGGGACCATTTAGGTATTGAAGGTAGTTACGCTATTTTGTTTATATGACAAATTGGGGGATGTTAACCACTTTCCTGGCACCTGTGGAAAATACTCTTAATTACAATTCTTTTGATGCTTACTTGAGAGATGCACATGATGATTTTTGTCTGAAGTGAAAAAAAAACTTCTATTCTATTTTTTGTAAAGGCTGGCTGTTGTCTCCTTAGACAATTCTGCCAATGTCAGGGTTGAGTACTACAGATGATCAGTTTTTTTTGCAGTTTTCCGTATCTTCCAGTATTGGCCGGTTGAGTGACCTAAAAGGGTTATATAAAAAGGTTATAGACGACACAATGACAAACACAACAGTTACAGATAAAAGCGTTAGTAATAAATGGGATTTTAAAATTTACAATTTAATTTTATTGGTGTGTATATACTTAGCAAGGACTTGTATGAAGGGAGCGTCCACCATGGTTAGTAAGTGGTTTACATTCACAGGGCGGGCGATATTTTTAGGCAGTATATCATAAAGAGAGATGGTATTTTTTGGGCAATTGAAAAATATGTGATTGACGTTTCCTTCGTCAAGACCACATTCGCATAACGAATGGTCCCTAACCCTAATTTTGTTTAAGAAGACGGGGGAGCATATGTGACCAAGACGTAAGCGAATAATGGTAGAAGTGGAGATTTTATCCAAGAAGCGGTATTTAAAAAACCACGGCTTAGAGGGAAGAAAAGGCTGCAGACTTCTATAATGTTTCCCTTTGAACTGCGAGGAGTCGTCCCAGTGTGCTGACCATTCGCGATATGATTCGGCTTTAGCTTTGCTTCTTAGATCTTGGGCAAAGCATTTATCATAGGTTGGGCAACCCATCGTTACAGCCTCTTTTGCAAGGCTGTCTGCCTTTTCGTTACCTTTAATGCCAGAATGACCAGGGATCCATGAGAGGGCCACATTTATATTTTGAGAACGGCAGTTAAACAGAAGTTCTCGGATTTTTAGAGTTATATAAAAATTTTGCCTGGCGCGTAAAGGGAATTTTAAAATATCATCCAAAACACTTCGGGAGTCTGTGAAAACTATTGATTTGTTAAGTTTTTCAGAATGGGCTTCAATATATTTAATAGCTTCATATAAAGCAATGGCTTCACCCGAAAAGGAGGACAGTTCTGGCCGGCATTTAAAGCTTAAAATTATTTGAAAGCGAGGGATCCAAACAGCAGCACCTACAGCTTCTCCATTGGTTGTTTTAGAGGCGTCGGTAAAAATCGGTGTCCAGTCAGTCCATTCTTCTGCGATAGTTTTGTTAAAAATTCTGTCGGCGCCAGGTTCGTTTTTGTTAATATTAAAAAAGGTTAAAATGTTTGGTTCGAATATTAGTGTCTCATAATTTACATTAAATGTTGGGTTTCCGGGAAATTGTGCCATAGGGGGACCATTGATCAATTTTTCGTAACTGTTAGCTAAGCGGGGCGTGGTTTTATGTATCCAGTATTTAGAATTAGTAATGAGATTGGAAAGCTGACAAAGTCGAGAAAGCAGTGGGTGGTTAGAGTTTTCGGCTATTTTAAACAGGAATCGATCTGACAATAATTGTCTACGGATATTAAGAGGAGGATCCCCAGTTTCTACCTGTAGGGCATTTGTCGGAGAAGATCTCATTGCACCTGCGATTATGCGGAGACACCTAGACTGTATTTTGTCCAAGGAAGAAAGGGAAGTCTTATTGCAGGGTTCGAGTAAGAAAGTACCGTAATCGAAATAGCTTCGAACTATTGCGTTGTACAGAAGTTTTTGGCAGTAAGGATGAGAACCCCACCAAACACCTGAGAGGGCTCTGAGGACATTAATGCTTTTCTCACATTTATTATTGATATAATTGAGGTGAGAGGCACCAGACAAACGAGAATCTAATATAAGGCCTAAAAATTTAGTTTCATCTGTGCATGGCAATTCTTCCTCACCCAAGACAATAGGGGCGTAGGGAATTGTTCTTTTCCGAGAAAAAACTAGTACATTACTTTTGGATGGGGCTAAGGATAAACCATGTTCAGTTAACCACTCATTGAGATACCTGAGAGCTGTATTTAGTTGAATAGAGCAGTCTTGAACTGAGTCTGATGCAGAATATAGAGCTATATCGTCGGCATATTGCACGATGTCACAGAAGCTCTCAACACATTTTTCAAGGTCGGCTGTATAGAAGTTATAGAGGGTGGGGCTTAGTACTGATCCTTGAGGGAGCCCTCTCCAAACCATTCTAGGTGGAAGAAGACAACCCTGAAGGCGAACTGAGATGGAGCGTGCAGAAAGCATGTTAAATATGACATTGATCATCCTCACGGGAAGACTCAGCTGATGCATTTTCTGCCTGAGTAGCGGAAGAAGAACAGAGTCATAGGCTGATGTGACATCAAGAAATACACCGACCATATCTTGCTTTCTAGAGAAGGCGAGGCGAGCATCCGAAATGAATACACTAAGATTGTCCATGGTACCCATGCCCTTCCGGAATCCGAACTGTGTTTTTCCTAAAATATTATTATGTTCGAGTATCCATTCGAGTCTATTTTTAATGAGTAGCTCCATGATTTTCGCTAGCACCGAGGAAAGGGCAATAGGTCTATAAGAAAGCGGATCGTTAGGATTTTTATTAGGTTTTAAGATTGGGATAATTACTTGATGCTTCCAGGAGTCAGGAATTATGCCTGAATCATAAATTTTGTTAAGAAGCGCCAGAAAAAATACTTTAGAGTTTTCGGACATTTTTTTAATAAATGAGTAGGATATCCCGTCTACTCCTGGCGAGGAGTCACGTAAATGAGTGAGAACTGAAGATAATTCATTAATGGAAAAAGGATCATCGGTATGATTATGCAAAGATATTGAGTGAGATAGGGGAACATTGTTGTTTTCATAAAAATCTTTATCTGGGACAAATGGAGGTGCCAGTCTATCCATGAATTCCTCGATCCAAGCAGAGGAATCTTTTGAAGGTGGCGGGTTATCCGAAAAAGACCCTCTAAATTTTTTTATTTTTTTCCACATTAATGATAGTGGTGCTTGTGGAGATATGCTTTCGCAAAATGATGTCCACCCTTTACGTTTTTTACTTCTGAGAATTTTTTTGGAACAAGCTTTAACTCTTTGGAAGTTTAGGTAGTTGTCAAGGCTTAAATCATTAAGATATGTCTGCTCTGCTTCGTTGCGTTGTCTAATAGCCTGAGTACAATCGGAGTCCCACCAAGGTGGAGAGGATCTATTCCAGCCAGGTGTTTTTTTTTTCAGAGGGATTGATAATTCTGCAGCGGAGAGCAAGGAAGAAACAAATTCATTGTAAAGGTGCTCAAAATTTGAACTATCTAGCGGAGGCAACCTTTCTAATTTTGAGTCCAGTATATCGCGGAATCGGGGCCAATCTGCTTTTTCAAGTTTAAATTTACATAGAGGAGGGTAGGGATCAGAAGATATTTGGACCTGATGAGTGAAGGAAATGAGGATTGGAAGGTGATCACTTCCATGAGAGCACGCTAAGACGCGCCAGATAGCACTTGTTGAGAGGGAAGGGGATACAAGGGAAACGTCGACGGCGCTAGGGTTTTGGAGAGGAGAGGTGCGGCGAGTAGGGGAGCCATCATTTAGAAGGCAAAGATTGACGTTATCCATTAGCGCTAGGAATTGGGAAGACAGTGAGTCACATAAAGAGGATCCCCATAAGGTATGATGAATGTTAAAGTCTCCTAGAAGTATAGTAGGGCCCCGGAAAGAGGAGAGGATATTCTCTAAGGAGTCTAGAATACTAGTAGAGGGGTGAGGGATATACACAGAAAAAATATTAATACCAGTGA